TTTTTTTTTTTTCTCGTGGCAGAACTGGGGATTGAACTCAGGCCCTTGCATTTGCCAGGAAAACACTCTACTGAGCCATCTCCCTGGCCCCTACACTTTGCTGCTTGCCCTGATTAGCCTAAAGATTTTTCTTCCGCCTCTTGCACTGCTGCCTGTGTAGCACGTGCCATTGAACATGTTTGAGTTCTTAAACAGCCTCTCATGGTAAAGGACATTTGAGTTGTTTCCTTTCATTGCTGCCATAAGCAGTCAGCAACATTCAGTGTAAACAAAAACCTCAATATTCGGGTTTAGTTGCAGTGTGGGCTGCAATTTGGTCACTGTCTCTAAAAGGTTTACCATCACTGTTCTGGACATGGAAGTGTAACTTAATATACCAGTGTAAAATGCATTCCTGGGTATAGAATTAATCATAACGCATTGTTAACAGTTGATAGAATACTGTAAATCATTTCAAATAGTGAATTGTCAGTAATTAAGTTGGGGAGGTTGGGACACACTGGCAATCCTAGCACTCGGGAGGCTGAGGCAGGAGGACCATGAATTGTCAGCCAGCCTTGGCTACATAGTAGCAAGGTCAAGGCCAGTTTGGAATACATAATGAGACCTTATTTCCAAAAAAGAGAAAAAAAAAAAGCCAATAGACTATGAAAAGAGTAACAGCAACAAAAAGACTACAGTATTTCCTGTGTTTCATTGTACAGTAGCCATGACAGTGTAAGGAAAAGGCTCATACCTCCATTCTAAAAATTATGAAACATAACAGACGTCAGTGTTCCAACCCAGGTCAGGCTGATGACATAAAGTGACCAAGTGAAACAGGAAGTGAATTTGTAGATTTGAGGGATGTTTGTTCATACTGACGTTAAAAAAATGTGATTTATAGCATGAGCAATCTCCAAATTCCAGTTACCTAAATCTGTATTTTTATTTCCCTGCAGTACTGGGAATTGAACCCACAGCCTTCATACTTAACCACATCTGTAACCCTTTTTTTTTTTTTTAATCTTTTTTTGGTATTTAGGACAGAGTGTGTATAGGGTCTCACTGCGTAGATCGAGGACTTGTAGTGATCCTCCAGTTTACAGCCTCCCAAGTGCCGGGATTTACAAGCACCACAGTCTCAATCACCATCTCAGTACTCCCTGGGGGCAGGACCAGCACTGCAGGCCAGGGGATTGAACTCCTGGCACCCCTGCATCTGCCTAAGCAGGCGCTTTAATCCACTGAGCTCAGCCCCCCTTTTTTCATTTTAAGGCAGGGACTCACTAAGTTTCCCAGGCTGTGCTTGAGTTCGTAGTCTTCTGCCTCAACCCTCCCAGAGTGCTGTGTCCACAGGCATGCCCCACCATGCCCAGCTCATGTCCTTTTAAGTGTCTGTATTCCACTCCTAATATTTGGCCTTCTGCTTGCAGAAGACTGTAAACAGTCTTCTTCCTGTTTACAAAGATCAAAACTAAATGAAATAAGTACTTATGCTATGTAACCCAGGAATTTGTCTGAGCTGTTTACCATTCTGAGCATGTGAAGTTCTCTCACATGTCCTGAAGTTGGAACTCTTAAGGTGAAATTGGCCACTTCATGATTGCTTAATCACAGATTGCTGCAAATCAGAAAATTGGTGTCTACCAGTGAAATCATGTGTAAGATTGTAATACATTGAATGCATACTTAAATGGCAAAATAAGCTGCCTTATATACTGTTGGAAAATTGCTTTAAGGTAGACATTGGTTTTGGAGGAGGTTTGTTGGTTTGGTTTGCTTTGTTTCAGTTTTTAGCAGTACAGGGGATGGAACCCAAGACTATTATCACTAACCTATGTCCCTAGCCCTTTTTTAATTTTTTATGTTGAGACAAGGTTTTGCTAAGTTGCCCAAACTAGGCACAATCTTAAAATCCTCATGCCTCAGCCTCCCAGAGTGTGATTATAGGCAAGCACTACTGTGCCTGGCGAGATATTGCTATTGTGAAAGGGGTGTTTGACCACTTTTTAAACTTCTTTATTATCATTTTTTGGTGGTGCTGGGGATTGAGTCCAGGACATTGAACATGCTGTATTCAGTTGCACGGAGCTGCCCCTAAAACCGACTCTAAACTTTTCACATTCTTTTAACTGCCTGATTTTCATTCACATATTTAAGAATGTTTAGGGGTCTGCTCTAGAAAGAAGGCTCCTGTAGAGAAAGAGGTGTTAGCTAGGAGATAGCATGTGACCTTTGGAGAACCCTAACAAAACATCAAGAGAACACTTAAAATGAGCTGGACCCAAAACATTTTTAAGAAAGTGCAATTTTGAAGAAAGTATGTCTGTCATCAGGTTAGATGTTTATTGAAACTCTTCCCTTCTTAAAAAAAATGTTATTGCTGACCTAGGTGTTCAATAGCAAGGGGAATCTAGGGGAATGTGGCTCGGCAGTGAAGCATTTCCTGACTCGGCAGTCCTCAGCACAGCAGAAGCAAAGAGTAATTAACATGCACTAGTACAGTGGGATACTGTGTGTGTATTATACGGTAGTTTAAAAAGTAATTCCATGGGAAAATAATGTCTCGGGTATATAAACAAAATCAAGAGTAACGTTTTTATGTCTAGGTATAATAAAAACTGTTTTGCTTTTATGTATGACTAGAACTGGAAGAAAGTAGAGGAAAACTTTTTGTTTGACTGTAGGGTTTTTCTTTGTATTGTTTGTATATAGCTGGGAGTTGTTTCTGTAATTGGTTTTTGGATCCTTGCTAGTGTTACAATTATCCAGTAGTTGAATTTTTTAAATATTTCCTGTTCCATTTAAATTACATACATGGCCATTTTATAACCAGAAATCCAATATTTATGTTTTAGCATAAGAGAAAATGAATAGTTGTAATAGCTAAGTTTTCAGTTAGTATAATTATTCAATTCATTCTACATTAAACTAAGTCTATGTTTTCAACTTTTTAGGTAGGTTTGAAAGTTGGCGTCCGAACCAGGGGCTGTAATGGCCTTTCTTACACTCTAGAATACACAAAGACAAAAGGAGATTCTGATGAAGAAGTTGTTCAAGACGGTGAGTGAGGTTTTTTTTCCTTTTTTGGGGGGGGGGGGTTCTTTTCTTTTCTTTAAAATCTTCAGCCGGAGCGATGTGGCGAGCAAGGCTTAGAGCAGACATCATGGGAACTGCGCCAGGTGAGAGGTGCAGGCTGCCAGACTCCAGATGCCAGTGGATCAGCACACAGCAGTGGGTAAAAAGGAGTCCTGTCACCCCTCTGTCTGATGAAGAGACCAAGGCACACATCAATGGCCTACTGAAATATAAGCCAAATCAATTTTCCTGAGGCTGTGCTCTGTGTAACTAATTGAGAGGTTATTGAGTGAGTTTTTTGTTTCAACTCTAAAAGCTCACATTATATCCAGAAAGGTCATAGGATCTTCCAACTTCAAAGTGAACCAAACAGCCTTTTTTTTTTTTTTTTTTTTTTTTTTTTTTTGGCAGAACCAGGGATTGAACTCAGACCCTTGCACTTGCCAAGGAAGCGCTTATTCTACTGAGCCATCTCCCCGGCCCTCAGCCAGCCATTTTTGTGTGTATGGCAAGTAATGTCATCTCACGGTTTTGAAGAATTTCTCAATCTAGATTTTTATTAAATTTTCAGTTTTTTTATGATTTGACAGCAAACCTGTTCCAACCCAGTGGTGTGATGGAAACGTGTTTAAAACAAATAGTACTACAGCTTAGAGAGCCCTTGTGTTTGTGGGTGTGCAGTGGCAGTTGCGGGCCTGGAAGGTCCCTAGCCAGCTTGCCGCCATGCCTGTGCAGGAAGGACAGTGCTTAACCTGGCATGCACAAGGCCCTGGCTGTGATCCCCAGCACCACAAAGGCATACAGAACTGTCACTGAAAATATACATATTTATTCACACTACAGATTGAAAAGAAATGAGTACAACCAAAGGCAAATTGTAGTTGTGCACAGAGTTATCATGAAGTTCTCTTGTGTAAAAGTCTGACCTAATTGCTTTCCTCAGAGAGTGGGGAAACAGTGCGTAGCCCTCCCAAGGGGATCATGAAACCCCTTGAGAAGCTTCCTGTTGTGGCTGCTATTTAAGCTTCCCTTGTGCTTTATAGATAAACAGTTTTTTGTTTTTTTGCGGTACCAGGAATTGAACTCAGGACCTTGTGTTTGCCAGGCAGGTGCTTATTCTATTGAGTCATTTCCCCAGCCCTTCCCTTGTGCTTTGAATCAGCAGGTTCCATAGGCTGTTTGCTTTGTGTGACACATGTTTTCTTTCCTCAAGGAGTCAGAGTGTTCATTGAAAAGAAAGCACAGCTGACACTTCTAGGAACAGAAATGGACTATGTTGAAGACAAATTATCCAGTGAGTTTGTCTTCAATAACCCGAATATCAAAGGAACTTGTGGCTGTGGAGAAAGCTTTAATATTTGAAATCTCAGGACTCTTCCGGCTGTGAAACCCTGGGAAGCTTCCAGGAGCCTTGGAGCTTACTGAAGAAATCACGTGATTGTCAGTGCTTAAGGCTTATGATGTGTGGCCACCAGGTGGGGAAATAAAGTGATGCATTTTGAAAATGAAGCCAGTGTGTTAGATTCCAGAAGAAGTGATGTTTATATTTATCACAGCAGGGGGCAAGAAATGAAAAGCCATTGCCCTCTTTGGATCACTGACTGTTCTGTAAAGAAGACAAACTCTTCCCTGGACTTAAATGTTGCATATTTGTTAGAACCAGTTTCATGAAAATTGCCTTCCGGTGAAGAGTTGAGGAAGTGGGAGAATTGGTGTCCACTCCTTAGCTTGTTAGCTTGCTTCTCTTCAGCATTTTGCCACCCATCCTCATGGTTTCTAAAATTCAGAAGCCACATGTCCTGCCTGCTAGAGGTAACTTGATGGCATATTTTCTACCCAAACTTGGCAGAGCCTCTTCCTCTTTCTTGAGACAGGATGGCCCTGCATTCCTGCCTCACCCCCCAGCGTCACTGGACTGATTACAGGTGTGCACCACTATACCTGTTTCCTTGGGCTTTTTACATTTTTTTCAAAATGTCATTGTCAAATGCATCATTTGTATGGTCTTGCACTGTACCACAGGGTAGTTCTGCAGGGAGATAGCAAGATGAGAAAGACTTCGTCATCTTATTTTTCACCTATTTCTTTTGCTGTGCTGCAAGCCTCCTCAAAGATAGGAAGTTTCTTAAAAGCTGTAGCCCACCACCTACCTAAGCTTGGTGTACTGGAAACATAACCCCAGGGAAGCCTAAGGCTTGCATCTACACCATGCTGCAAGCCAGAGGAGAGCTGGCACTGTGTCCAGGCCCCTCATCCACGTAAGTGACCCCTCTGTCCACCAAGTCAGCAAAACTGAATGGTGTCTGGCTTCTTCACCTGACAGCATTTGGATAGATTCTGTGTAATTTAATAAAGATCATACTAGTTTTGAGAGGAAAAATTTATTTCAAAAGCCTTTCATACGAATTTTCTTGATATTTCTTCAGTGCTTTGAAGCAGTAGTTGATAATAATAGAAGATACTGTAGCAGCTGAGAATGCCTTCCTCAGAGTAAATAGTAAAGCAGAACAGGGGCTCATTTAATTCCCAGTGTTTGTGCACTTCTGGTTCATAAGTCCAATGTTGTAAACATTATTTTAACCTAATAATCTTTGTCACCAACTTTTCTTTTAAAAGACCCCTCGTGTCACTTGATTGATTTTTCTGGGTTTGACATAGTAAGTACTCAGAAAAAATGACATTTGTACTTTTTTTGAAAGCTGATTCTCTTGAAGTACAGTAGTGAGTTCATTTCTCCCATTTTACTAAAGTACATGCACAGAATGCATCAAAACCTGAAGTAGTAATTTTGCAAAAATGTCCATGAATTTGTTATTGATATAATTGTTGATCCACTCATACTTTGTGCAATAATGTATGTAGAGATTGAGTTATCAATTAAAAACTTTGGCCTCTTTGTGGTCATCGAAATGCCTTTTCTTGTTTGGGAAAGTAGCCACTAACCTTGCTGATGAATAATTGCTGTATTTTTCTGCTCAGATTCCACACAGGCCCTTGAGACTCATCTCAGGCTGCTCTTCCTTCTGTGGGTAGACTTCCAATCCTCTCATGGAGGCACCCATCTTGGGTGCTTCCTCCTGCCCTTACCCCCAGAGTGCTTTGTTATCCCCGGGAGAGCACAGGACCTCACCAGGAGTGCTTCATGTTCACTTCCTCTGCAGAGGTTCTTAGTTTGCTTCAGGCCCAGTAGTGAACACCAGCTCTCCACTCATTCTGAGGGTTCCAGATAAAGTCTGTCTCAACTTTTGAGAGCTGAGAGTTGACTCCAGAGCTGACTTCACTGAGGGTGTCCGTCAGTGCGGTAAGCAGTGCGTGCATCAGGAACTGTTCTACGTGATACTCGGGATGCTAGCAGGTAGGTCAGACTACTGTCTTTCATGTGAAATTCCAAAGAACGTGAGTAAAATGTTTGACCTACGTCATTGTAAGCAGCCAGGTCTGCATTAACACCCTGCTTTCGGGGTTCAGCCCTGGGCCTTTATCTTTAGATGCAAATAGGGGGTTGGTGCACCCATGATGCCGTATCCTAGAGCTTGTGACCCATGAGCAGGGCTTGGATGTGATTTGAGGGAGAGGGAAGAGAATGAACAAAACTAAACAGAAGAGCAAGGGGCAGGGGCTGAAGAGGCAGTGAGAAGGCTGGGGAGCCCCAGCTCTGTGTGGTTCTGTAGGTGTCCAGAGACAGTTCATGAGTGTCAAGCTAGCAGCAAAGACTAGGCTGGAGGGGGGGCCACAAAGATGGGGTGTGCAGGGCACATGGCCCAACTTGAACAGGCCTGCTGCTTTGTAACTTGATTCTCCCTTATCTTAAGTTACATTTTTCTCTTTGCTGTGACGAGATACCCAGAGTCTTAAGGTCCATTTGTCTCACAGTTTGTAGAGGTTTCAGTCCATAGGGCTGGCTCCGATGCACAGTGGTATGGCGGAGGAGAAACAGCAGTGGGCAGAAAGAAGGAAAGCGTACCATGACTCAATCTGAGCATCATATAGTCTAGATCCAGCCACCTCAGAAAAATCCCACCTATGACCACATGAGGCTTTGGGGAGACATCTAGACACAAGCCATGGCTCTAGTATAAGCAAAATTTATGCTGGTTTGGTGGTTGTATCATTTCTTGTATAATAAAAATGTTCTAGAGGCAAAATCGCTTTTTCAGTGTTCAATTAGCAGCAGGTACATCATCATTTTCTGTCACGTGGCTCTACCTTACGTCCATATTGGCCAAATGGTGCACCCTTTAGCCCTAACTGGAAGCTTCTGCCTGTCCTCCCACACATCCACATCTACTCAAGCCCTAGGGGACCCGGCTCAGGTCAGGCAGTAGCGCCTGAGAACATAAAGAGCCATCAGTTGCCAGGTTAGGAGATCTTGGAGAAGCCTGCTTTTCTTGTTAGGATGGTAACTGAAATACTCAGGCCACCTGATTAAAACTATCCCTCAGGAATTTGAGGAAAAGCTCCTGCTGTGCCCCATTGTTCTAGAGCATCTTCCTGCCGTGTAGCTGGACAAACAAGCATTGTTTTTATCAAAGAGGGAAGGAGAGTAGGGGATTCGAAGGAAGAACCCCTCAAGATCAGAGTTCTCTAAAATTCCCAGTATTTCCTAAGACTGATTCAGCAGGAAATGCCTTTAAAACTAATCTTTATTGTGATAGCCAGGAAATGGGGAAATACTAAGGCCTGTGATGTAAGGCGAGCTGCAAGCATTGTCAGGGTGACCTTGGAGGCTCAGGGTGATGCAACACAAGTGAGAGAGCGTCCACCGAGATTGGGCACAGCAAATCTAAGGCATTGTGGGCCTGGAAATGTGAGGTTTGAGGAGTGTTGTGGTTTGGGGTTTTTGAAACCAGAGCAGTACAATACAGGACACATTTTATAAGATTATAATCACCCAAGGAATCAGAGTGCACAGTTCACACACTAAAGACCCAAGACTCCACTTGAGGGCGTGGATCCTAGTACCTTCCATGAGCAGCTGAAAACCTAGAGTCCATAACAATGCCTCTCACAAGTCCAATTGGAGGCCTAGAGCCCACAGTGTCTCATACAAGCCCTCTTCATGGATCTTTGCTGGAAAAGTCCAAAGGTTAGTGGTGGAAGCTAGAAAATCTACACCAGGGTTGAAGGATCTGTGCCAGCAGGCTGAGGGATCTAAATTGGAGCTAGGAAGCAACATAAGGTAAGAACTGGCACTCCCCCAAAAAGTACCACTGCCATCCTCAGCAACAGAGACCCCAAGCACCTCTAGCCATGAGGAAAGCTGAGTTCCCATCAGGAAAATCAATGTGACAAGCTTCTCCAGGAACCTGAGCAGTGCACCACCATCTTGCGCTTCCAGAGCTAGGAAGCGATGCTTAAGATGAGGACTAGAGCTCCCCCAAAATAAACCACAGCCATTCTCAGCAACAATAGGGTCCCAAGCTCCTCCTCCAACAAGAACAGCCAAGTTCATCGGGAAAGCCAGCATGATAAGGTCCTCCTGCAGAACAGCCCAAGGAACTAGCAGCTTCCAACAGCTCCAAACAGCTTCCTAGCAGCCTCTCAACAGCTTCTCCAGTTCTGCCTCCTATGCTGCTGGCCACAATACTCAGGTGGGCCTCCCACACTCAGCACCATGTCAGTTCAATTTAGCTGGGGTGTAACAAATTGACTCCCAGTTAACAATCCACTACAGGGAGAGATGCACCTGGATGGAACAGTGGTACCATCATTTTGTAGCAGTGTGACCTTTCAGCCATGTCCGTTCTGCAGAGCACTAACTACAGAGAAACAGCATCCTGCTAGGAGTAGCTGCTCAGTGTACTATAGTTTTCATGCCTTTGACCCATTTCCCTGTGACACCCAGGGTAATGTCTACACTTGATCAAAGCAAGAGCTTAGGGAAATGAAGGTTTCAACACCATCCAAGAATTACTGTTAAAATTCAGAGAAACATTGCCATATTTCTTCCAATTCATGACCATGGAAGCTAATTTTGTATACTTACAAAAATTTCATTCTTGCAACTGATTAGCTATCAAGAAACCTGCCTTAACCAAGGAGCTGTTTTGAAAAGCTCACTCTCCAGGAGAACTGGGCTCACCAGACAGGCAAGGACAGGGTAGGGAGACAGATGCACCTCCAAGACGCTATGTGGGTGTATGCACTGGACAGTCCTGCCTCACTCCCCTCTAGAGTCTTCAGTAAGGCCACATTGCGGGAACAATGTTGAGTTCAAACTTCAGCTAACCCAGGGCTGTTAGCAGCACTAGTCGCTAAGCTTAAAACTATTCTTTGAGAGCCCAACAGGGATACCTTCACTTCCCTCCCTTGGAATTCCCAACTTTTCACTATGAAGTTCTCAGATAGCGTTTTCCAGGTCTCCCTGTCTGCTGCAGATTGAACCCAGGACCTCAGAGCATGCTGAGTGCTGAGTTCCTAGCCCAGATGCCACATTTTGAAGTTGTTCCCAAATTTTAAGATACAAATCAATCTTGGAGATTCTGCTTAAAAGATTCCAAGAGCCGAAG